CTCTTTTCAAAAATAGGCATTATATTGCCCTTTTCTTCCTTCAGGGACCTTGCTCACCCCTGAGAGTTGTCAAAGAGATTATAGCCAGTTGTGGTTATGGCTGAATTTAATCAAGTGCAGCCAGTCTGGCAGCATCCAAACTCTCCATGTCCTTAACCTCTTTTGTTCCTATTTCTGGCCCAAGTCTGCCCTTTTCCTACCAGCAATTCATTGTATTAGTACAACTAATGGCAGTTCACCTTCTGCATGAAGAGGGAAGCAAAAAAGGCAGTAGTGTTTGTCATTGCCATGAGCTTGGCCTCTGTCTGGAACAGTAAGGTCACTGTTCTGACTTTGCTCCTGGTGCTGGTTTCTGACAGGCAACAAATGCAGCTTCTGTTCCCAGCTATCCTCATCTTTTCCTAGTTCTGGTTGGTGGCTGGATGTGTTCATGCCATGCTATTATCAAGGTTTCTCATTGTCCACATTTGTTCTCTGGTCAGTTTTCTCCCTGTAAGAGCCACTTTGCAGTGTATGAGCCTGCCCTTTTTTTCCCAAGGAACCCTCACAATTGTGCAAAGGGAGGGCTTCTCCCTCAGAGGAACTGAGGTTTAGGAGCTGGGCCTTTTTAAATTTAAAATAGGTGATCTTGAAATCCAGAAGAAGTCATGAAGCAAATTCTCTTGGTGGAAGGGTTGCTGTCAGTGAGGATGGTGGGACTGTGGGGGCCTTGCTGAGAAGCCATGATGTTTTACAGCAGTTGTGTCTGCTTTGGGAGTGTGCTGCTGCTTTTGGGGTGTGGATGGGCAGCAGGATGGAAGGGGAGACAAGGTACAGAAACCCCCCTTGATTTGGAGGTAGTGGACAAAAGATATTCTGCTTCCATCAGCTCAAACAGCATCACTTTAGTGGCTGCCATTTTATTTCCCAGCTGGTTGTTGCTCTCCATGGAGTCCCAGCACCAGCTGGACCCTGCTTTTGGTAGCTGGTAGATCTTGGGAAGGAGTGCAGGGCCAGCTGAGTCTTTTCTGGGCAATAAACAGAATTGCACTTTGAGGGTGGAAGTCTTCTGCTCAGCAGGCTGATGACCCTTGCAGTGCAGGTCAGCCTTGGAGAGCATCCCTTCAGTGGGTTTGCTGGGGGTATTGCTGCTCACATTGCCAGCACAACAAAAGCTAATTTCCAGAGCTATAGCTGCCTTGGGCTCAGGAAGAGTGTGGGGATGAGTGAGTCAGGCTCTCATTAGAGTAATTATTCTTCTTGCTTGTTTGAAAGACCAGCACTTCCCAAGTGTGTGTGTGTCAGTTTATGTCACAGTGACCAGTTTTACAGTTTTTAAAAATAGAACCTCAATATTCCTCCCTGCTGATGTTTTTTGGCTGTTGGAAGCTGCAGGCCAGGACGTGTGCAATAAGGAGAAATCTAAAAGTGATGTTCTACAACAAAATATTTCAAATACTTGAAGGGTAGACAAGGATGGCTCCTGCCTTTGCCTTTCTCCTGCTGTGTCTCAAGCCAGTTCACCCTTAGATCACAGAAATTTGGGAATGCTGAGCTTATTTCTGCTTTTGTTTTAGAGCTGATTAGCTCAATACTGGATCATCTCAAAGAATTGCCCTGTAAGTCATGGTTTGGAATCCCTTAAAACCTTTCAGCATCAAAAGTTCTGTGATAACACTGCTGAGGATAAGAGTGTGCACGTCTGGGGTTCAGGAGTTCTCCTGTAGCTGCTCCTCTCTGATTCCAGTATCTCAGGGTTTTCCCAAATCTGTCCTGACTTTTATCTGTTCTAACTCGGAGCTAATGCTGTGAGCAGAGCTGTGTCTTGGAGGGGAAGCCCAGGAGGTTATCCCTGTATTTTCTGAGCAGGCTGCCTCAAGGTGGAAGAGGCAGACCCGGAGGCAGCCTTGAGTGAGCGTGCAGATCCACGGCCGGGCAGAGGCCGTTTGTCCCCCCGTACCCCAGGTGAGCTCAGAGGCCTGGTAAGGTGCTAACACTCGCTGCTTTTCACTCCAGAAGGCCAGAGACTCCTACCTGGAGGAGAGGAGGCGACAGCAGATGGAGAGGGACCAGGCTTACGTGACCAAGAAGCTGCAGCAGGAGGGGTGTGTGACCCACGGAGACTCGCGGCGCCGGCGCACGCTGCTGCAGAAATGCACGGCCCTGCGGGAGGAGAGGATCCAGGGCTTCCTGCAGGCCCTGGAGCACAAGAGAGCAGACTTCTTGGAGAGACTGTGTCCAGTGTCTGCGTGACACAGGTGCTGGGCTCTGGGGAACACGGCGTGCAGAGCTGCTGCCCACAGGGACTGGCTCACCGGGCCCTGCCGTGGCAGCCAGGGCTGCTCCAGGAGCTCCCTCCTGCCGGCCCTGCCCGGAGCAGGGATGGCTGCTGTGAACTCTCCTGGCCTGGGATGCTGCTGAGGAAGGTGGTGCCGTCCTGTGTCACCTCCCTGCCCTGGTGACAGATCCCTGCACCCTGCTGGGTCTCTGCTGCTGGGTCCTTGACAGGCCAGGTGTTCTGGTGACAAGAAGTTAACTGCAATGAGCCTCCTCCAGTTCTCTGCTCCTGAACTGGCCCAGCCAGACCAGTTCAGTCCCATTAAATCAGTCTGGGCTCGGGTTCTTCCCATGGCTTTGCAGTAGGGAATCTTCTGTTGAGATGTCCTCTGCTGTCCCATCAAGAGAGCCCTGCTTTTGCAGGGAGAGGATTGTTCCTGGTGTCAGGGGCATTCCCCCTGCCTGCTCGCTGACAGCACCTTGTCTTTTCCCCACCTGACTGCTGGCTGGGATGTACCCACTCCTGGTCTCCAGAGAGCTAAAGGAAGGGTTCCCACCCTTGCTGTAAGGAAAAAAAGCTGCTCCAAAGCTTCAGCAGGTCCTGAGATCTCTCCTGAGCAGTGGATGTGGGGAAAACCCAGGTGCAGAAGGTGCTGGTGTTGGACCACACTGACCTTGGGAAAGGCTCTGAGCAGGCAGGAAAAAAGGATTGGTTGGGAATGAACCTTCTCAGGCAGGAAATTGGCTAAACACAGGTGATGGCTACCATATGCCATCAAACCCTCTGAGGGAGTAGGGAATGAGGGTGGGCTTCATTCAGGAATACAGTGGCCAAAACCAGCCTCTGACCCCAGCCAAAATGGTTCAGAAGGGCAGTTTGGCTGATGCTAAAGGGACTGGCCAGAGCAGCTGTGGAGTGTTGCTTGTTCTCACTTTTCCACTGGCAGGGAGATGGACAAGCTGATTTCCAAGGTTGTTTCCATCTCTCCTTCCTCCTGGTTTCCGTCCTCACCATCAAAATAACTGAAAATGTTTGATTTTTGCTCCTGATGCACACACACGTGTGGCAGTACCAGCTGTTGCTGGGTTTGAAGTGTTTCTTCTTACCTCCAGGTGAAAACCACAAAATGCAGATTTAACAGCCTTGTAAGTGCTGCACTGAGCACTTGGCCTGTGATTGTGAAGAACTGTGTAGTCAAACTGGGAATAAAGTATATTCATACCAAAGTTACTTAAAAAATAACCTGAATGTTTAAAAGTAAGTAGAGCTGCTTATTTTAAGGTGTGATGAAGCTGGAATCCAGGTTTAATACAATAATATTTAATCTGTGACAGACTCCTCATGTGGTTCCTGCTAGCCTGGGAATGATTTGAAGGTTATTTTTACAGTGGTGTGAGCAGTTTGCTGGTACCCCAAAGCCTGCCCGAGTGGAGCTGTGTGCAGGTACCACCTCTTGTGTAAGTAGCAAAGAGAATTTGGCTGAAGATGTGCTGAGATGATGAGAGCTGTTGATGTTAAACTTCTTTTGCTGTATTTTATTTTCTCCATGTTTCAGGAAACTGTGGAAACAGTGTACTGTCCATGAGATGGAAACTCTCCAGTCTGCTTTACCAGGCTGATGGGGAGACTCTTCTACTCAAAAAATGTATTTTTGCCTTAAGAAAAAAAAAAATTCCATTGTGTTATGACTCTGCAGGTGACAAAAGCCACAGTGGTGGCTTTCCACAAAGTACTGCTCCTGTTGCAGGTGAGGTAAGTGAAGGATCTGGTTTATAAAATACTTATATGGAAAGTTTTAATCCATTTTATAAAAGGCATCACTGGAGCAGGGGAGGAGGAAGAGCCCTTCAAAAGGTTCCTGTTACCTGGCTTTGTACATTTCACCTGCATCAGTCATTCCAGTAAATGCAATTTTAGTTATTTCCCCCTGTGAGCCTTCCTTTGTTAGAGGGTGGAGATGAGTTACCCAGGCAAACTCCAGAGTTTCAGGAGTGCATCTTTCCAGTGAATCTGTGGAACTAGAGCCACAGGCTCCTGTCTGTGAGAACAGAACCTCCATCGTTAATTTATACGGGTTGAAGATGGGAAAAATCAGCACGGCTGGAAAAATGTGCAGCTGGGGTCTGAAAAACCTGAATTTACCTGTGCAGGGAAGGGGGAAAGGCTGTTCCTTGGGGTGATTTTCTGAATGAGGTTGGACTGAAAGTGAAAAGTTCAGGGCACAGTGAAGTGGTGATGGAGACGTTTAGCTGGATTTCTGGCGCGGGGGCCGTGGCTGTGCCAGGTGTGAGGAATGTCCCCAACTCCCGAGTCACCTGGCACCAGCAGCGGGCACCTGTGTCAATTGATTTAACGTCATTTTAGTGCTTTTTAACATTGTTCTCTCTCCTTCCAGCACTGCCGCCTCCCTTTTTGGGCTCCAGCGCCCCGCATCTCCGGTGTTTTTACGGGAAAAGGGGCGCCCGCTGCTTCCCCCGGGAGCCGCTCCGGGTTGGGGGGCCCCGCGGGGCCGGAGGTGCTGAACGAACAGCTCCGCTCACCTGCGCGCGGGATCGCCGCGGGGTGCGGGTGTCCCCCCCCCGCCTCCACCAACCCCGTTATCCCCGGAGCCGTTTTTCACATCCCGAATTTTCACCTTTTCCCCCCCCTTTTTCCCTCCCCCCCCCCCCTCCCCCCCCCCCCCCCCCCCCCCCCATCCCCTCCTTCCCTCCCCGCCTTGGCCCCACCCCACGTGACCCCCGCCGGCCAATGGGCGCGCGGGGCGGCGGGGATCCGGCTGGAACCGGTTGGGCCGCGTCCGGCTCTATATAAAACTTTATAAACACCCGATTCCAATTAGTGGGGTCGGGACCAGCGCAGCCCGCCGGGTGCAGCCCCGCGCACCGCTCCGCCGCACCGCTGCCCGCAGCCCCCCGCGCCCAGCGCGCCCGGCTCCCGCACCCCCGCCTCCCTCCGCCGCTCCCTCCGCCCCCTCACGCCGCCCGGCGCGCTCCGCTCTCCCCCACACACACACACACTCACACTCACACTCGCACACACGCTCGCACACGCGGAGCCATGCCGAAGAGAAAGGTACGTGCAGCTGCCGCCCCCCGCCCCCGCCGGCCTCTCCCCCCTCACGGTGTCCGCTCCCCCCTCACGGAGCCGCCTGCGGGAGGGGGGGCGGGACTACGCGCTCCCCCCCCGCGTTCGGGGCGGTAACGGAGGAGCGAGGCCTCACCGGGGGTGGGGGCGGCGCGGGGCCCGTTACCGGCGAGGGCCGCGGTGCGGGAGGGGCCGGCGCTGCCCGCCGGTCCGAACCGGTTGGTTTNCCCGCCCTGAGGGGGCAGCGGCGCCCCCGCACCGAGCCCGCACACCGCCTGGGCTGCGGGGCTGTGCCCCGGCATCCCCCGCCCGGCCCCCGGGGAGGGGCCGCTGCCCGCCGCGGGTGGGACGGGGATGGTCCCCCCGGGATAGCGGCGTTAAAACAGCGGCCGGTGGCTGCGAGTCCTGCCCATCGCTTGTCCTCACAACCTGTGTCCGTGTCCCCAGGCTGAAGGAGAGACCAAGGGCGATAAGGCCAAAGTTAAGGATGAGGTAAGAAGTTGGGTGTTTTGAGAAAGTTGGATCATCAAGTGTTTCGGTTGGAAGATGAGGGTTAACGGCGTCGGAATAACTGGGGAGTAGGGGGGAGGGTTGGTCTCAATTGATTCTGACTTTTCAAAGTCTTAACTGTTTTTTAACCATGAGAAATCTACTTTTAACCGTGAAAAATCTACTCAACTATCATTAGCTATTAGTGTTTTCAACAGCATAGCCTCATGTTTCTTGAGAACACAGAAAAAGGGAAACTGGGAAACTACCTCCTTAATTTGTAAAAACTAAAGAATGTAAACGTAATTTCTGGGGGTTTACTGCTTTGGGAAGAGAGCAAGTTTGTGAGATTTTTGAGAGTTCATGTTTGGTGTCATTTCAATAGAACCGTTGTCCTTTTCCTGCAGCCGCAGCGGAGATCAGCGAGGTTATCTGCTGTGAGTATCCTCTTGCTGGGCAGAGGTGTCACCCGTGACCCCTGGGCGTGTAAATGTGTGTCAGCGCTGGAGGTGAAAACCGAGTTCCTGCCCTAAGGATCTGCCCCATTGTGTGCTGCTGTGGGAGTGGTAAAATAATGGACAAACCAAATAGCTGCTGCAGTTGCAAATGTTTTTATTTGCTTTCCTAATGCTAAGCTATTTGGCCTGAATGCTTAAAAAAAAAAAAAAAAGTAGTTTGTTTCCCTGGAGCAGGATTTGAACAAGGGCTTGGAGTGCCAGGACAAGGGGAATGGCTTCCCACTGCCAGAGGACTGGGGTGTTGGGAAGGAATTCCTGGCTGTGAGGGTGGGAGGATCCCTGGCGGTGCCCAGGCCAGGTTGGCAGGGGCTGGAGCAGCCTGGCACAGTGCAGGGTGTCCCTGCCGTGGCAGGGGTGGCCCTGGGGGCTGTGAGGTGCTCCCAAGCCAGACCATTCCACGGGTGTCTAACACAGCTTTCCTCTCCCTGCAGAAGCCTGCTCCTCCCAAGCCAGAGCCCAAACCTAAAAAAGCAGCTCCAAAGGTGAGTCGGGTCCGGGCTGTTTGGAAAGGGAAATGAATGAACGGGTGCTGAGGTCTGGCATTGCCTGGCAATCCTGAAATCTGACAAACCTCTGGTGAACAGCCGTGTGTGAGGAAACGGAGCTGCAGCGCCGCTGCCTGAAGCTGAACTGACCACTTGCAGATTTTACAGAATTTGCCTAAAAAAATACCCAAGTGAAGACTTCACACTTGCTGTCAATCCCTTACCAAGCAAACCTTGGTGGTGTCTGTGCTCTTTTGGGGCCAGCACCCCTCGCTGGGGCTGTGCCTCGTGCCTGGCTGCTGGCAGCTGACAGCAAATGTTGTCTTGCATTTACAGAAGAGCGAGAAGGTGCCCAAGGGGAAGAAAGGAAAAGCTGATGCTGGCAAGGAGGGAAACAACCCTGCAGAAAATGGAGATGCCAAAACAGACCAGGTATCCCAGCAGCCTGTGGTGCACCAGCATTGATTCCTTTCCCTCTCGGACCGGGACAGGTCTTGGCTTGTGGCAGCAGCTTGCGACACTCAGCACAGAGGGGGGTGTTGGTAAAGAGTTAAATTGTCTGTTTGCCAGGGGATGTTGCCACATGGAAGTTACTGTTCTTCTGTGAAGTTCAAAATGAAACTTATAAGTTGTGTTTTAGGGTGCAACAGATGTTCAGTTTAATTTTATTAGAAATCAGAGCTGCGCAGCCCAGACAGGATTTGTTCTGCTCAGGGTTTTGCTGTATAGAAAAAAGAGTGTCCATTTTTTTAATGTGTTCACTTGTTCCCCTTTTCCTTTTCAGGCACAGAAAGCTGAAGGTGCTGGTGAAGCCAAGTAAAACGTGTGAATTTTTGATAACTGTGTACTTCTGGTGACTGTACAGTTTGAAATACTATTTTTTATCAAGTTTTATAACAATGCAGAATTTTGGTTTACTTTTTTTTAAGCTATGTTCTTAGCACACAGACCGCTTCATTGTTGTGTTCTGGGGGGGTGGGGGGCAATGGGGACAAATGTCATTTAGTCTATTTCTCAAAACCTAAATTTTAATAAGAAAAGCTTTTGCCAGTCCCCCAGTTTTTGGAAGAAGGGCCCTTCCTGCAGGGAGGAAGAAGGGATTCCCCCGTGCTGCCTGTCAGTCATGTCCAGGTGAACACCAAAGCTCCCAAGATGCTGTTGCCTGCTCCAAATCCCAGTGCCACCAGTTGTCCTTTGGTGTCCCCTGCTCACCCAGTCCCTCCCAACCACAGCAGAACTGCCGTTCTGGGACATCCCAGTGTCAGATCATCCGGATTTCTGGTGGCCAGTCTGGGATGTACTGGCTCAGAAAGGAGCTGCACTTCCTCTTTTCCATTGTGGACCCTCAGATACAGAAATCTGCCTCTCGAGTTTGTTTTCCTCTCAAAGTCAGGGTGGGTTTGTGCAGAGTTGTCAGACAACGCGCGGATGCGAACGTGTCCACCCTCACTCTAAACTTTGCCCTCTGCAAGTGCAAGCTGAAGATTCTTACGGTTTTTAGCAGCTTCTCCATGTCAGTAGTCCACAAAGGGAGGGGAGTTTGACAGTTGTTGTAAAATGTTGCGGATTGTAGCCCATGTCCTGCCTAAATTACCATGATTGTTCATGAAAAGTACCTTTAATAAAGCTGGATACGGTTTGGCTTGGACTGTTCTTGATGCTCTCTTTCTCTTGCCTTTAGCTCATGTGGTTTAAGAACATTTCCTTTGTGCATGTCTGTGTTTGTGTTTTCATTCAGATAATTAATTGTTGTAATTCACACCTGAAAAGCAAGATTTCCTTACCTAAAAGCGAGGTTTCCTTGCCTAAAAGCTAGATCACTGCAGGATGTTTGTAGAGCCTTGGCTTACTTGGAGCTGAAAATGGAACGTGTAAGTGAATCTACTGAGATAATTTTCTTTATTTTCTAAAATGTAGCACTGTACAAAAGGAGAAGGAATACAGTGATCTTGCTGCAGAGAAAAGTAAAATTCTGGTGAGCTTTTCTTGGGAGTGAAACCAGAACTGGCTCCATAAAACTGATGATGTGTTACATTTCTGCACTTAAACTTGAATATTGTTGCTCCTGCTAATCGAATCCAGACCTGGCTGGGGTAGTGACTAAGCAGGAGACGAGATTTTTTTGAGTAGAAATGCACCATTTTTATAATTGCTACTTAGAGTCCAGAGCAGAGCCAAACCCAAACCCCCCTGTGTAAATGTCTCCTTCAGTGACTGTCAGATGGAATATTTTTTCCATCTCTGCTTGGCTTTCCCTGGGATTTCAGAGTCTGTTTGTGATTAAGTTCAGTGACCTGTTTCAACCTGTGCTGATTTCAGAGGGAATCCAGTGAAAACGAGCAGGGCTGAGTTTCACATCCAGAAATTTCCGATGTTGGGAGTGCTGGAAGTGTCCTGGAGCGGCTGCACACACAAAAGGCACTTTGGGATGTACCCCTAGGAACTGCTCCAGCCCGTGTTCCCATCGCTGGTATGTCTAACAGAAAAGAAATAATGAATAATCCTGCCTAATAATCTTCATTAAACCCACCCAGAAATGGCCACCAAACCTCCGCAGGGGCCGGGCAGTGGGATGTCACTGCACAAAGGAAAATCATCATTAAATCTTAAAATCAGAAAGCTGGAAATAGCCTGCCTTGCTTTTGTAGAGTCTTACCTTGCTGGGCACCTACAAATGATCAAGTACTTGCAAAGGAGCTGGGGCTGAGGGGGTTGGCAGCTGGGATGTTCTGGTGTCCCTGTGTCCATCAGGGGCTGGGTGACCTCTTCACCCCGGCCATTAAACAAAGTGCTGCTGATGAAGGGGAGCTCGGGGCTGCTCTTTGTTGGAGTTACTCCTTAACTTCATCTTCCCACCCCCAGCAGCCTGTGCTGCCCTGTGTGGTTCCTTGCAGGATGTTTTCTCCAGCCAAGCACATGATTTTAAGCAGTGTCTGCCACCTCAATCCCTCGGAAAGCGATGGACATTTTGGGTGCTGAGGGTCCACCTGAGGTGCTTCCCCTGGCTGTGCCCTGCACTGTGGAGTTATGGACCTGTTGGGCTTGACTCGACAGGCAGGGCTCATCTATTTCTCCTTAAGCAAATAGAGACTGAGGGATGCTGGAGCCAGTAAATCCTACTAATTAGCTGTGTAAATGAAAGCTGGGGAGCAGGAGCTGAGCTGCAGCCCGTGCCTGGTTCGTGGTTGGAGGCACCACAAATCTGCATCGCCGCCTGCCAGAACGCCTGAAGCTGAACAGACATTTTTTCTGCTAAATTGTAATCATTTTACATGGAAAATTGTCTCTTTTATATCTGTTGGGAATGGGATTGGAGCTGCCAGGTGCAGTTAACAGGCTGGTCTCTCGTGTGGGCTCTGCAGCAGCAGGGATTTTGTCCTGCTGGAATTTTGGGAAGCATCAGCTCCAGGGTCCAGAAGTCACCACTGGCAACAGAAAACAAATGAGTTCTGTGCTCCATAGCAGGCCTTGAGGCTGGGCACCAGTATGGGTTAAATCCATGCAGTATTTGGGCTCTGCCACTAATTTGTTTCTCCATTTATTGATTTCAGCACAAGTCACCTGGGAAATAGGGCCAAACTGCTGCTGTCATTTATTTGCCTCTTAATAGGTGAAGTTGCAAAGAATGGCCAAGTTCTGCACAGGGCTGAAGCCTTTGGGATGCTGGAAGTGGATACTGGGGATGACCCTTGTTTTCCCAATACTTCAGGATTTTGCTGGGGTTTTAATAACAGTGAAATTACTGATAAATTATAGAGCAAAGTCTCTGGACTCCCCCCAGAGCAGTGACAATTAAACTGAGCAGAAGTTCATGTCAGCAAGTTGCCAGCCACTTCCCAATGTCCTACAGAGCCACCTTTCCCCCAGCCATGGGTTTATGTTAAACTGAAAGTGGATTGGGCTGAAAACCATGGGAACAGGTGAGCTGGACATGCCAGGAGGACTCCCCAGTGCCCTGGGATGAACAGTTTTGAGTTTCAGGATCATTTCCCCCTGCAGCAGTTTTCCTTTTGCCTTCACAGAGCTCAGTTCTGTTTGGAAGAAGCAACAGTTTCTTCCAGCCCTGCCACAGGTGGGCTGAAAGGGAGCAAGGAAGGAAAATGGACAGAATTCAGTGAGTGCATCCAGAGGATATTCAGTTGCAGGATCATTTTTGTCAGAAGAATCATGCAGCTTGATGGCACAGGGATTTCATTGTCCCTAAATCATCCCAGATATGGTAATACCATACCCAGGGACTAATATTGCTGACTATAATTCCTGAGAAATGGCACCTTCAACTGCAGCTGCTGGAGATGAAACAGAGCTTGAGTTAAACTCACAATTTACAGAGTGAGCCCATCATTTGTAAGGGATGGGGAGGAGATGGCACAGGGGGAGCTGTGGTAAAGTTGATTGAAGCTAATTAAGATCTTTAATAAGCTGGCTTTATAAGATTTCTGATGTGAGAGACTGGGCTTTTTAAAGACCCTTTATTAAAAACTGTTCTGTCTTTCTTTTTTTTTAATAGCATTTTAACAATCTCTTTACAAAGGGAGCCAGAAAATCTTGGTGTGGCAGAAGAAACAGGAGTAGAAAATTTCAGGGAAAACTTCGTCAATGTGAGACTTTTTAAAATGCATTAAAGCCTCCAAACAAAACACTTCATTGCCTTGGGTACAGCAAACCAGCCTGGAGAAAGCACTTGGAGAACCAAGAAGGAGCAGACCCAGCTGGGAGTGGCCCAGGTGTGGAGTAGGTACCACAATTCTCTGCATTTTGCTGGACACATAAACCCCAAACAAAATTTCTGCTTTTCCCCTTCTAAAGAGATTTGATAGAATAAACTTTTTCTCAATCAGTTATCCTGCTGAGGTTACTTTTGGATTTTGAACAGAATTCCCTGCAGGCAGCAGCTCTCCCCTGCTCTGGAGTTTCTTGCTGGCTCTGCAGGGGTGGGTGTATGTGGCAGTGTCCTCCTGGAGAGGAGCTGCTCTTAGATTACTATTAATCTGGATTACTATTTTAGCATTGCCCAGATAGATTTTTTTTGCTTTTGTTCCACTGAAGTGGTGTCTTGGTGCTTCTTGATGGAATTCAGTCTTACCTCAGCACAAGAGCTGAACATTCCTGTATTAGGGGTTCTGAGTTTAGCCCGGGGACTGATTGTAAACTTGGGCAATTAAATTAGCTTTTCTCATAATCTCCTCATAGGAGATAACAGCAGAGGCTGTTCCTGTGCTGGGGGTGTTTGGTGGATGGGTTTTCTTGGCTGCAGCCTGGTTGGAGGTGCCCAGGTTTCCCTGCCACACCACGATCCAACTCACTTCTGTGCTGCCAAACCCCACAGAGAAAAATTCCCTTGATACTGAATAACTGCTCTTGCAAAAGCTATCCGTGATTTCAGAGGCGAGCTGGCTCTGAGGCACGATGGCAGGGGAAGGCTGGACCTGGCAGCCTCCCGGCGCTCGTGTTCGGCTCATTAACACGCGGTGATTAACAGCCTGTTCCTTCCCTCCGCCACACGGTGGTACCAGGAAACGCGGAATGGGGCTGGCAGCGGCCAAAAGCGGCTCGGCAGCCCTGGGGAGGCTGGGCCCGGGCTCTCACAGTCTGAGGAGAGCTGCTTGCTTCTAGGAGGCAGAATCAGCGCTGCCCCGGCAGCCTCCATCCTCTGCCACCTTCAGAGACCAGAGCTGGACGAGCTCCACTCACCCGAGCAGTGTGAGCCCTCTCTGAGCCTCTCTTTCCAGTTTTTGTTATGATTTTACTCAAAATCCAGACTGAATGCTCAATTCCTCATCGGTTTACAGGCATAGCTGACATTGCAGAGGAATTTATCCGTGGTATATCAAGCCTTTGAACTTGGGCTTCCCATATTCTATTTTAAGATTCACTGGACCATTCCTTTTCCTCCTCAGGCCATTATTGCAGCTGCTGTGACACATGTCCTGAAAGTTTGAGCCTAAAACTAGAGCTGCCACTCTCCATCTCATCTGTCCTCATCTTGGGAAGGGATACTTTATCCCAAACCCAGATTTAAATAGGCAGCCAATAAGCCAAGTCTCTTTTAGGTTTGTTGGCACAAACTACTTATATCAGGCTTGCTGAATCTTCACTCTGAGATCACAGAATAAGTGGTGATGTTCAAAGAAGTGATACTTCATTATTGAAAACTCTCCTGTGCTTTTTGTGTTACTTCACTTTGCTTTTATATTCCAGTATTTGAGTTTGTGCTTTTGCTCTGCAAGCCAAACCTAGGAAATTGAGTTGTAACATCTGTGCTAATCTCCTTAAAAGTCTGACCAGAGTGATTCTTCTGATGCTGTAAAACTCTGGGCTCACTTTGCCAGCCAGCAACTTTTACCCACCTTGTATGAAATGATATCCTGTCACCTGCATTGTGCTGAAGCAATGCCACCAGCTGCTGGTTTTCCTTCACCTTTCCCACTCCCAAAAGCCTCAGTCGTTGGGTTATCTCCTCCTAGCACATGCTTTCCATGTTTATCTTTTCCAAGGACGGTGTTGAAAGCTGGGAAGGAAGTGGCTGCTTCCCAGAGCTGGCCAGATTGCAGGGAAAGCACTTGACACCCTCATGACACTTCCTTGAAATGGATGCAAAACAGAAAGATGAGCTCCTGGTAAGCCAAACTCATTCCTCTTATTCAG